ATTGGAATACAAGTGTGCGGAACCACTCTGGATGGGACATGAGAGGCTGGGGTGGCTTCTGCTTCATTTTAGCTCCAGTTCCTTGAAGAAAACCAGGAGTGAGTTTATTAATTGCTTTGGGGATTTTGACTGGACAACTGGAGGGAGAGAGGGAAGGCAGGGCATTTGAGAGTCGGGTGAAGACCTGATCTGGCCAGGGCGGAGTTAGGGAAGAAGGTCTGGCCCCCCCAGACAAGGTTGAGCTGGACTGCCTGTGCAGGAACAGGCTACCTTCTGAAGAACAGTGGTACAAATGTCGGCTGCAGCTGCCTGAATATCCTGAGGAGGCTCATGACATCTTCAAGGAAGGGACACACAGAGAATCTGACACGGCCTACATGGTACAGAGACACTTCAAGTTCAAGTGGACTCAGCTTTCTGGCATCTTCAAAGCAAGACCTGCCCTGATTTGCCAGAGAAGAATAGCCCCCAACCCCCTACCCCCACCCCCCAATCAAGGGACCCATTGTGTTAGCACCGCCTCTTGGAAACAATTGTCCTGACTGCAGGACAGTCTTTGGCCTTCTTCCTCTTTTGGCTAATGAGTCTCTTTTATTTTTTTTTTTAATTCCTCAAAGATATATTTTTCATTATTTTGATATAGTGGTGATTGGCGGAGGGCTGCTGGGAGGGACAGGATGGATACGTAAGGAGGGAAAGCCTTGATACATTTTCTAGCTAATTCTCAAAGGTCCACTTTTAGTTTGGAGTTCATCCCTATGTGTGGAGAGTGTCATTTGGATAAGTAATGTATATGTGGAACGCATGGTGGCCACCCCCACTTTGGCTGATCCTGCCCTCTACTAGTGCCTTCCCAGGGATTAGAATGTTGGGAGGGATGTAGCTAAAGCTCTTTCTGCTGGAATGAGCCTCAGCAAAGTTGGCAGGGCACCTCCTGTCCCCTTTAGAGACTTTCCTGTGGTTGTATTCTGAATCTGCCAGCTCTGGCCTCTCTTACCATGTCCTAGGGTAAGGGGCAACTTCTGTATGTAAGACAGTGCTTCTCCTGGGCATGGAGCTCTGCCTTTTGTTTCCTTCTGTGCGATTTTTATCAGCCTTCCAAATCAGACTTACAAATCAGTAAGTCTGCATAATGAAAATAGCTGGGGGGACCCCTGAGTGCAGTCAAGAAGGTGGTATCATCTTAACTCATGGTGGGAGGGCCTTTGCTGTCCCAAAGGAGAATTCCCTTTTTTTGCTGTCCAAGGACAGTGGGCTTTGAACATGTCTGGTAGTCAGGACATACTTGGCTTTGAACTGCACTCAATGTGCTAAATTAAATAAGCACTTTGTACCCTGCTGGCTGGAAATTGTGGTTCACATAGGAATCAACCGTCCTGATGCGGGGTGGACAAGCAAGTATTTAAAGAAAGACAGAGCAGTTTACTGGCACTTTGAATTGATTTTAACCCATCTCATTTAAAGATGTGCACTGGCCCAAGCTTGAACAATATTGTATGGAGGAGGTAGAAGTGGGGAGGATGCTTATTGGCAAATGAGAGATGGCAGGAGGGACACGCAGGTAGAGAGAGAGAAGGGAGACAGTTATAGGTAGACTGCATAAGTCAAGAAAAAAGAGAATGGAGATAAATTTGATTTACAAGTGGGAATTTTGCCTCTTTTAACTGAACTTTGTTAGGACACAATTTTTGGCTCACAATTGTGTTACAATTAGTGATTTTCCTCAGTTTTTTTTTTTCTTGAGGATTAGAAGATACCAGAGTTGGTGGATTCCTGTAAAATTTGTGTGGATAGTAATGTATACATCATTTGGGGACAAATTCTTTGTAAGTTTAAGATGTTTGGTTTCTATTTCCTCCTGTAATTCCCTCACTACCACCTATTTCACACCCCTTCTCCCGTCTTTTCTCTCCAAGTTGACTCCTTGCAGATGATTACCTGAGACTCATCAGACAGTAACTAGATGTAAATTACCAGCTGTGAAAAGGGTCAATCAGAGCCAAACACTATGAGAACACTGTGGTTCTTTCTCCAAGAAAGCGGTGAAATTGGACTGTCAGGGCACTTATTAGACTGATCTTTTGTTATATTAATCATCACATAGATTGCAGTACAAGAGCTTCCTGCCTTGAATGTCTGGTAACATGATAAGTTGGACACGTGTTCTAGAGAAGCTCTGGTGGTTGGTGGTTGGTGTATTCTTCACTGTGGTCTTTGACGTGTCGGGGGCTTGGGATGGGGAGGGTCTCAGAGGTCTTCCTGGAAGAGGGTTGCAATCACTTCCCAATGGTAGGCTGACTGCCAGAGTATTGCTGTGACCAGAGCTTTTGGAGATTTTGTTGGGGTAAAATACATATTTTCTGTGGTAGGGGTGGATATGGAGAAGGAAAGAAGGGAAGAGGTAGGTGTTCAGCAGGAGAGAAGGGGCAGAGTTGTTACAGATTATTCTCCTGGGTGGTTGATTAGGCTCATTGTGAGGAGAGGGAAAATATTTCCCAAGGACCCAAGGTATATCATCTGGCCTTACTCTTGAGGTGATTTTTGGAGAACTGGTGGGTGGGTATATAGAGACAGGTGTGTCCTAGAGAGCTGGGATGCCCATCTGGATGGGAGAGTACGGTGATAAGAGGTCTTTTTCTGAGTAGGGCTGTGGTGACCAGTGCTCAAAAAGAGTGTATGAAGTGTGGTGTCCTGAGAGCTCCATCTGCGCTAAGGCTGAGGTGAGACTGGAAAAAGGGTGAGGTCAGAGAAGGCAACTCTACCATGTGTCTTGAGGTCTGCTCCTTATGGACCTCGGCCTCTGTAACTTGGGTCTTAGCATGTCAGAGGTCTCTGAGGGCAGCCGCAAAGATTTTTCAGAGCCTAGAGAGGTGCCAGCACAGGAGGGGAGCTTGGTTTCAGTTCTTCTGGTTAGCACCAGTGGCTGTCCCCTGGGAAAACAGGCTCCCTCCCAGACAGTTGCTTATTGAACTTGAGGTGGCTGGGCTTTGCTGCCCGCTCTGCTCAAGTTCTCTTTACTGGTAGTTGATGGGCTGATGTGGTCACATGTGACTTCACTGACATAGGAACCCCACACTCCCGCGCCTCCACACCCAGACCCACTCTAGCCTCTCAGGATAGGTTTCTGCCCAGCACAAGGTGTCGAGTTAGGCAAAAAAAGCTTGGAACAAGATGCCTGGTATGGTAGTGACTAAGCTTCTACCTGCTGCTCTAGGAACCTTTGGAGAGTGCCCCAAACATTTGAAGCAGTCGCCATTCTTTCTTAGTAGGTCAAGTTTCTCTTTAGGCCATTTGGTCTCTTCTGGGAACAGTTTTCTGGAGAAAGGATTAGAGAGTTGTGGTCACTACACTAGAACCTTCCCAGGGAGGAATGGATCTTCCTACCTTCTTAAGAGCTAATGAAGGGGGCTGTGTGAGCCGTCCTGGAAATGGTGTCTGTCTGTTGGGTTGTCAGCCAGGAGAGGCCATGTCCTGGGGGGAAATTACTGGCAGTTGGGCAGGATTTCTGGATGCTCAGTTGGGGATGACATCAGGGGACACTGGCTTCCCCAGTGAGAGGTATCTGTAGTGACAGTCACTTCTACTAAAGAAGCTGCCTTTGAGCTCAAAGGCTCTCCACGTACCTTCCCCTTGATCTGGAGGCAGGTGTCACTGTCCTGGGTTCCCTGAAATACAGAACAGTTCCCCCATCCCTGAGACTGGGAGAATCCAGCTCATATGGCTGGGCAGCTTCACAGCAGCGGTGAAATCAGGGTGTAGGGGCTCTGTGGTCCAGTTACCTGTGGACAAGTGGCCTGACACACTGCAGGACCCAAAATGACACTGAAACACACCCCTTGTATAGTTCTATCTGTGCTAAGAATTTATTTCAGAGCCTCAAGTTTGGACATTTGCAGGTAGAGCCCTCATGGGTCCAAGCTTGTTTCCTTTAGTCACACTGAATGCCAAAAGCCAGATGGGTCCTTCATTGGCCATTGCAACTCCCTATTTCTACCCAGGCAGATGAAATCATGGAGTCTGACAAATACTACTCTACAGAAGGCTACCTGAATCACATCCCATTAGGTAGAAAGTGACCCAGAGGCAGGTGTGGCATCTCATTCCCTAGAGACAGAAGCTCTAAGATTCCAAAGAAATGCCCATCAGGTAGGTGGACAGTTGAATCAGAGCCAAAAGAATGGAGAAACCAGAAAGGATTGATAAGAAGCATAGGGTTGTGTTTTTAGACCTAGGTCCAAAGCACAAATGTCTCTGCAGAGCCTGCTTCTATGGAGGAACCAGTCAGATGGGGTCTAGGGCCAAGGAAGAGTTCGACCCCATCAGATCTGCCTCTTCTCTCTCCTTTTCCCTGTGACTTACACTGTAACCAAAACATTTCATTGTGTTCTAAATGCAAAAGCCCTGTGCAAAATGCTGGGACCTGTGGAAAGAGAAGTCTAAGGTGTTTTCTGCTTTCAAGGAATATACACCCAGGATCCCACCCTCTTTGCTCCTTTGCCTCTTCTTGCCCCCCTCTCGTTGTTTCACCAACACTTTCTTGGCACTGATTATATTGATAAATTTAAACTTCCCTTGTCTTTTTCTATTCCTAATATCTATCTCTGATCCTTCCCTTTCTGCTTTCAGTTCTCTCCCAAAATATAAGCAGCAGAGAGAAGTTGTGGGGATTAGAAGAACGACAGACGACTTAAGAGGAAATGTCTTTTTGGTTGGCATCCGGAGCTGATTCTGTGATGCTCAAATTCTCTGTGTCCATTTGCACTCATAGCTCAGGTTGGGGAAAGTCAGTGATTCATTTCCTCTTGTAATTAATTTCTGCTAAGTGTTAGTTGCATCCCATTTTCACAGGGTATGATTTTTTTTTCTTCTCCCCCCCCCTACTTTTTCTTTCTTTCTTACAAACTAGAATATGTCTCAAGCTAAATAAATTGAAATGGTTGCAGGTCTTTCATCTAATTTGTGGATTAGTGATGGGATAATGATGATCTAAAGTGGACAGAGCTGAAGGGTGAACTGGAGCTGGACTTTGTACCCAGGACTGTCACCCCCTTTGGCTCTGGCCTCCTTCACCTTCTCCTCATCACTAGATGCTTTCCTCCTCAATCCAAGGCAGGAAGTTTTCTACAATGGCAAACCCTTCAGAGACTGGTAATATTTCTCACTCGAGACATTTTTTCCACCCTTAATGTCAGCTCCAAGTCTTTGGTCTCATATTTGCTTGCTTTCTTCTCACCTAAGAAGAATTAAAAAAAGAGCAGACCTTGAAGGATGGAGGAGGTTAGAAAAAGAAGAGATGTAGGAGGGAGTCCTGTATGCAGCTAAATAGTAAAGAGCTGGCTGTCTAGCTTTATTCTGTTGCAAGCACCTCCCATCCTACCTAAGAAGCTTGGAATATGCCCATTCCTTTGAATATAAAAGAACTTGTTTCTTTCTTTTATAAAATACATGGTATTGCTAAAATGTGAATGTTCTAGGATGGGTAGCTTTTAGTGGAAAGTTAATTTGAAGAGAGGTACTCAATGGGAAGAGTCACAAAGCGGGAGATTGAAACCCCCAAAGCCAAAGCTTCCTACTTAACCAATTGTATCTATATCTGTCCCTTGAATATGCTCTATTTGAATGCAGGGGAGAAGACAAAAGGTAGAACAATTTTTAATCCATCCAAACACAACCCTTATTCACAGCACACACACACCTGGAGCCAAAGCAGTGACAATCTAAAAACATGTAGCCCAAAGCTAAGATCCTTTCAGATTTCCAGCTTACATCTTTTCTAAGCATAGCTTTTCCCTCTTAATTTTCCTTTGAAAATACCAAAGTAGCTCCAAAATTCCCACATATGTTCACATTCCAAACTGCACTCAAGTTTGCCTGGCTCAGGTGTGTGTGTGTGTGTGTGTGTGTGTGTGTAAATCTGTATTCACAGCACCTGTCTAGGACCCCCCAGGAGGAACCAAAGTTACAGAGAGCCTAGCGACTGTAACTCCATCAAAGGGAGCCTGTGGCATTACTCTCTGTCCATGAGAGAGTACGCACAGATCTTTTCTCCTCCTCGTGGTCAGTTTTCTCTTTGTGATTAGTAATTGGCTTCTCTTGGTACGCTACAATCTATTACAAAAGCCAAACGTTCAGAGGGCGAACTGAAATGACACAATTTGGTTATAATTTACGTTGGCCCCGGACATATATATATTTTTTTTAATGATTTGGTCTCTAAGCAACTGATCTCTTAGCAACAAGAAGCACCTTTATAAAAGATGGCACACAAAGAGTGATTGCCAGAAAGCCGCCCGGTTCTTAAACAGCCGCGCATCATTAGCAAAACTCACCATCTTCAAGAGTCCAAACATTAGAAGTGACCAGCAGACCCAGGTAACCTTGCTATTTGCACATTTTCCTGGAAAAAAAAAAAACTCATGCAACTATTGAAGAGAACAAAAGTATTTGAAATATGCTCATTTTTTGAGGTCTTATTAGTCTTGGCTAACTTTTAATAATAGAATGTTTTCTTTAAAATAACTGTTTCTTGGTTTTTCTTAAACAAGTTGGAATTGAATTTTGTGATCAGAAAATGGTTCGCTCAAAATATTTCATTGATCTGAGACTGGAAGGGGGAACAATCTATCCTTTTCAGAGTTTATTTCTTTAGATTTTCATTTGAAGAAGGGAAAATCCACATTGTGGCACAGTAGGAGTGTGCACAATCCACCCCAAGGGGTGTGCATTATTAGGGAGATAAAAAAAAAATACATGATTTTTCTAGCGTGTTTTTGAACTGCTAAGATATAGAAAGAGTAGCAAAATTATTTTACTTCCAAACTTCTACTGTTCAATCCAATGTCAATTTCAGTAGCAAGTAATGATCTTTTGTTATGAATGGTCAAGGACTAGTTTTTCTTTCATAGCACAATAGCAAACATTTTTCTATTCATTTTCATTGCCGTAAAGATCCAATTCATTTCAAAATTAAAGATAGGAGAAATTAGAACTATCTGTATCTTGTTTGCTTATTTTGTGTGCCTATAAATTGAAGACTTAAAATATTTTTCTAGAAAATTGGAGTTGGAGATGAGAAACAATGATTATTTCATCATTAGCCCTTCAATTAAGATTGTATAATTACCAACCCACTTGGGGTACTCAAGGTGCATAAAAAAGATGAGGATTTTGTGAAGGTGAAGTAAAAACAATTCCTACTTGAGCCCGGAAACAGTGTTATCTAGAGGTCCTGCAGATTTAGTGAAATAGACTGTAGAAAACTGCAGTTTCTATAAAGACAAGTTGGGACGGTGATGCCGACTTTTGTTTTTTTCAAAGAACTGCTGTGCCATTTTTTATTAAATTGAATTGCATGCTAACATCTCGGGAACAAACAAAAACAACAAAAGAGTGTGGAATACTTTGTCTGAATAAAAAAACGTGGCAATGGGTCAGGACAAACCCAGAAAAGTCGGGACACAGAGTTGCTCTTCTAAGAAAATGGCACCTTAACAGCATCATATAATTACACTTGATATAAAAATGTGCTTCCAACTTGTGTTTCTGTTATTGCTACCAACTTCAGGCAGAATTCCTTCTTGTGATGACTCTGCATGGAAGTTAGCAATGTGGGTAATTTAAAGTTGAATTGCAGAAACTTTTTTATTTTTAATTTTTAAAGCAATACACTTTGAAAGCTCAGAGAAGCATATAGTTTTGTCCTTTACAACTAGAGATTTTTTTTTCTTTGTGCTTATATTGCAGTGTGGCAATTATTGTAGAAATGTGTTTGTGATGTTAAGGTTACAGAACTCGGATAAGTAACTGTAATGTGTAATGTGTGTTGGCTGTGCCTGGATGTGTTTCCAGTTTTAAGTGCACTGCAGTCTCCTTACTATAGCGGGGAATAAAAATGAAAAGCAACGATGCAGTAATGACTATCTCAGTCTCCTTAATATAGGGGGGAATAAAAATGAAAAGCAATGATGCAGTAATGACTATTTCAAGAGGCTGTTACATTTTGATAGTGGTTCCTTAAGATTTTTCAAATCTAGTTGCTGTGTCCTTTGAGGTTTATGTCTTCTGAGTTTCGTCTTTGCAGAAAGAAGGGATCCAGCAGCACTGAAGAGCTTGTCATTTTGGCTGGCTTGATAAACCATCTGGCCAAAGGGACAAACAATTTTAAGATTTGAAACATACTATGAAATAATACTAAATAGTGTGGCCATATAAGAAAAGCCAAGTCATTCTGCAATGTTGGGATTACTTACTTCTGACACACACACACACACACACACGAATGAATGGTTTCAATATAAATCAGGGAATCAGCATGAGGTACTCCAGCAGTGAGAGCTTCCCAGGAAAAAGGATACTTTTAATTTCATAAACAATAATTTTTACAAAGATCTTTATTTAGTGCCTAAAAATCCTTGACAAACTTGATGGCTCTGGAATCAGGATTGGGGTGGGGTGGGGAAACAGCTGGTTGGTCCACTGGCAAAACAGTCCTGCTGTGAGGGAGGTCAATGCTACAAATGGATCCATTGACTTTGGATGCCTTCATGCCTGAAAAAAATGATCAGGCAAGAACTTGATCAATGACTACATAATTGGTCTTTTGACAGAAATGTCTTAATCCTCCTAAGCCATACCTGGGATAATGTAATCTCTCTGGGGTAAAAGGGAAGCAAGAGAAAAATCTGGAGCAGGTGATCTGGGCAAGGCCCTTTGTCAGTGCTGGGCAATTTACAGTGTGCAGTTGTTTAATTCTCACAACTATCCAAAGGTATCAGTGTCTCCACTGTATACACGTCTAAGTAAGCCAGGTTTGGCAGTTTGCCAAGATGTTACTTAAGCACTGAATGGTGAAGTTGGGGTTTGCACCCAAGAAGCTCTGACTCCCAGGCCTGTGCACTTTTCTTGTGCCTCAGTGGCATCAGGAGCTATCTGAAACTGACAATAAAATAGTAAAGCAAGAGCTCTAAGTCATTGGACTAGAGGTGGAGATTCAGGCATCTTTTCATGGAAGAGATTCCTTTTGGAGTGAATTTGGGTCCTGTGTTTTTGAAGGCTGCCATGGGCTATGAGCTGCAGGAGGGCACTTGGGCTGTAGCAGTGGTAGCCACGGGGTGTATCACCTTTCCTTGCCCTGATGAACATCCCAAGTACAGTGGGTAGAACTCTTTGAGGTACTCCTTCTGTGAGAACAGTCTGAGACAAGCCTGGACCACAATAGTTAGGGACTGCACAGGCAGAGAGGGAGTTAAACCAAAATCCAGAATGGGTCAGGTGACATGCTATTGAGTGAAGGTGGAGAAGAGAGAAGCATTGGGGCTGGGGTGAATATGGAAGTGGGGAGGGGTTGCAAAATGATTAATAAAAAAGAGCATTCTCCCAAGGACGTTGCTTTGAACTTTACAAGACTGTGATTTCCCATCCCCTCTGGCTTATGCTGTTGCCCAATCTTCTAATATCCCTAACGGAAGGGATCAGTCTTAGGTTCACTTAACAAAACTTACCTGAAATGCTGTTTGGGTAGCAGAAGACTTGCTGGAACAAAACCCTCCGTGCATCCATACTTCCTTTCATCTTTATGTCAGTCGGCTCAGTGACCTGGAGGGTTTTGCTGAAAGACAGATGGCTCATGTAGACATGGTGCTTGAATTCTGGTCTTTTGACTGGAAAGCTTGCATCTCTTTCCTCCAATGAGGAAATATGATGGCATTTATAAGCAGAAACAAATTCTGAGATGTGACAGGGATCCAGACAGGTTTGGGGTTGGAGGTGGCCTACCTTGAGCTTGGCATGACCCATCAAGTGAATAGAGGCAGAGTTTTACCTGCTGCACATGAGTCCATTCCCAGAGGAGGAACTAACATTTCCAAAAGGTGTAGGTCATACCCTTGAAAAAATTTCTTTTTTCAACTCCTCCCTACTGAGGTATACCTCTGGATAATTCCTCCAATAATAAGTTGGAGGACTGATAAATAGCTTAGGAAGTTTGAAACGAATGCCTACTTTGTAGTAGGTTTCATCTGTGTACAAAAATTAATAACGCTCATGCAAAAGTGTCCAGGTATTTTTCATGCTTCTACTTCCCTAGGGTTCTTGTTTCCAATCAGACATGCTCACCCTGAGTTCCTGCCTGATTCTTGGTGCAATGACATGTATGGCTGTCACATTGATGCCACATACCTACCATGGACAGCACATGCCATATCCCCCTGCCTGGGTAGTGCGCAACAAGTTTTCTTTCATCTGATAACTCTGGGTTGAAGAAGAGGGCCACGTAGCTCATTTCATTTCTTAAAAAGCAAACCATTCTTAAATGGGAGCTGACTTGGAGCCTGCTTAAATTGGACTTCTCATTTTGGAGGGGAAGGAGCTGAGCTGATTTTCTCATCTGTGCAGTTACTCAAATCAGAGTGTAGAGCTCAGTTCTCTTGACTCCCAGTCCAGCGCTCTTTCCTCTGTGTCGTAATCATCATTATTACAAAGAAGAAGGGGAGAATGCAAATTCTGACCCCTATTTTGCAGGAAGATAAATTGAGGGCATAATGAATGAATGACTAGCACTCAAAAATATATAAAACATTAAATCAATAAAAGTGATTTAAAGGTATGAAACCTCTCCAGGATTAACCATCTTTATTCTCCCTGCTGAATGCAAATATGCAGAGTTTAATATTAAAATGAACACATTAGAGAGCTCAAAGCCCTTTGACCACATAGTTTCTCCTCTGTAGGAAAAGTGAGGAAGGGGAGGGGAAAATGATCCAGAAACATTTATGAAACATACTGTTCAGACTGATTATACACTTATGGAATCCCAAAAAAGATAAATTAGTGTATATAATGTGATATCGAAATCATAACAGCCAAGCTCCACATCAAGAATAACAAAGGGCACTGTAAGCAGTAGTTCTAGTGAATGGATCCTCCTCCTGTTGGACCAGTTTTTTTTTTAATCTTTTTCCTGTAGATAATTACAACTCCCATTCTTGAGATTGATACTGCCACAGAAGAGCATCTAACAAAAATTTATTTTTGTGGAGAAGCAATTATAGGAATCTGACAATTCTGATGAGAATTCTAAAAATGCAATGAGAAGTTATGAACTCATAGGTGTTGAGTTCTCTGAGCCAAGTTCTGTGCTAGGACCTCTACATAGATTTTCTTATTTATTATTCCAAACCTGTGATGTCAGTATCCTGAGCACTGTTTTCCAGGTGAGAAAGCTCAAATTCCTCTGCACTAAAAGTACTTGCCCAAGGGGGCCGCACCACAAAGTGTTGTTGGTTATTGAGCAACAACATTGTTCAAATGACGCAATGAGTGCTGGACCAGATGCTGGTGATATGAAGTTAATTAAGACATGCTCCTTGTCTAGA